TAAAGATAAAAGAAATTTATCAAAACATTATTATTATTGAATCAAGATGGATGGTATGCAGGTATTAATTTTATTATTCTTTTAAATTTTCTATATGTTTGAAATTATTCATATTAAAAAGTTGGGAAGGTTTTTCATTTAAAAAACCTACTGTATCAGTCAGTGTTGGTAGTGTCTAGTAACAAAATGAACTCTGGCATGTTTAGGAAAACAATTGTTATTAAAAAGGTGGTAGTAGTAGGTTGGATATAGTGGCTAAAACCTGTAATCTTGGCACTTTGAGAGACCAAGGTGGGAGGATCACTTGAGGGCAGGAATTCAAAACCAATTTGGGCAATAGCAAGACTGCATCTCTACACAAACAAACAAACAAAAAATAGAAAGAAAAGAAAAGAAAAATTAGCTGGGCATGGTGGCATGTGTCTGTAGTCTCAGCTACTTGGGAGGCTGAGGCAGGAGGATCACTTCAGCCCAGGAATTTGAGGTTACAGTGAGCTATGATCACACCACTGTACTCTAGCCTGGGCAACTGAGTGAAACCCTGTCTCAAATAAATAAATAAATAAATAAATAAATAAATGCAAGCAATGGAAGTGAGTGCATGTGCACACATGTTCACACTTCTGTGCTATTAAAAAGTCAACCTGGGGTGAAATCTGAACAAAGGCCTATAGTTTAGTTAACAGTACTGTTCTAATGTCAATTTCCTTCCTTTGCTATCGTACCATAGTCACATTAAATATTACCAAGGGGGCGAGGGGGAGCTGAGAATATTAGTTTCCTAAAGCTGCTGTAATGAATTATCACAGACTGGGTGGCTCAAAATAATAGAAATTTGCTGTCTCTTAGTTCTGGAGGCTAGAAGTCCAAAATCCGGAAGTCTGAAATCAAGATGTTGGCAGGGGCATGCTCTTTGAAGGAGAGGAAGATCCTTCCTTGCTTCTCTCTGAGCTTCTAGTGGCTGCTATCAATCCTTGGTGTTCCTGTGCTTGTAGGTATATTACTCCAATGTCTGCCTCCATTGTCATATGGTGTTCTCTGCATGTCTGTGTCCAAATATCCCTCTTACAAGGACAACAGCCACTGGATTAGGGCTTACCCTACTTACCCTAATCCAGTATGACCTTGTTTCAACTTGATTACATCTGAAAAGTCCCTATTTCCAGAAAAGGTCACAGTCATCATTACTCGGGATTAGGACTCGAGCATATCTCTTTGAAAGACACAATTCAACTCATAACACTGGCTGAAAGATACAGGGGACTATTATTTGTGTGTGTGTGTGTGTGACTTTCTGTAAGTCTGTAAATATTTCAAAATAAAAAATTAAGAAAAAAACCTATCTGAAAAAATATAATGAAATTGTTAATGGTTACTTCTTTAGAAGATTTCACATTTTATTTTACACATTTCAGTACAACTTAGCTTTCCTTAGAATTATGGTATATGACATTTGTAATTCATTTAAAAACTAAAAAAAAAAAAATTAAACATTGGGAGAAAGGAATGGTCCAGTCATTACAGTACGGAGAGCATAGCCTTTTTTAGAAAGATAACTTTTATAGCAATGTGAAGAGATGGTAAAGGCATGGTTTGAAGCTAGAAACTGAGAGACTAGATAAAAAATGTGCGCATTGGCCGGGTGCGGTGGCTCACGCCTGTAATCCTAGCACTCTGGGAGGCTGAGGCGGGCGGATTGTTTGAGGTCAGGAGTTCGAAACCAGCCTGAGCAAGAGCGAGACCCCGTCTCTACTATAAATAGAAAGAAATTAATTGGCCAACTAATATATACAGAAAAAATGAGCCAGGCATGGTGGTGTATGCCTGTAGTCCCAGCTACTCGGGAGGCTGAGGCAGAAGGATTGCTTGAGCCCAGGAGTTTGAGGATGCTGTGAGCTAGGCTGACGCCATGGCACTCACTCTAGCCTGGGCAACAAAGCGAGACTCTGTCTCCAAAAGAAAAAAAAAATGTGCGCATTTATCAACATGAGAAGAAATAAGGACCTTAGCTGGGAGCACTGGTAGGGAATGGCAAGGAGGGGATGAATGTGAGAAACATTCCGAAAGTAACAGGTACAGGATTTGGTGGGGGATAGGGTGTAGTGGAGTAAGTAAAAGGGAGGAGTTGAGAAAAAGTCTCAGGATCCTGCTGAGGGAGACTGGGTCCTTGGTGTTGTCATTAATTGAGGCAATAGATTGGTGATTCTCCATTTGCTCCACCTTTCACCTCACTGCTTTCTGCCCCAGGAAGTTGACCTCTGTGGACTGAATCCCCGGGCTCCTTTGATTCCTGGTTTTAGGTTGGGTTTGGCCAAAAAAGTGATATCAGCAAGAGATCACAGAGAGAGGCCATAGTTTGGGCATGGCTGTGGCCACAGCCTCTGTCAGAGAGCCCTTCCTTCACATGCAGGTCTCAATTCCTTCCCTGGTCCTTTTAGGCCCAGTAGGGATAACAGCTTCCCCTCGGTTGCCAATCACTGTTTCTAGAGAGAACTTTTACCGGATCTCTTGCAGTCTCATCACTAAACTTTCATGAATGACTTCTTTTTTTTTTGAGACAGTGTCTCGCTTTGTTGCCCAGGCTAGAGTGAGTGCCGTGGCGTCAGCCTAGCTCACAGCAACCTCAAACTCCTGGCTCAAGTGATCCTACTGCCTCAGCCTCCCGAGTAGCTGGGACTACAGGCATGTGCCACCATGCCTGGCTAATTTTTTCTATATATATTAGTTGGCCAATTAATTTCTTTCTATTTTATAGTAGAGATGGGGTCTCACTCTTGCTCAGGCTGGTTTCACACTCCTGACCTTGAGCAATCCACCCGCCTCGGCCTCCCAGAGTGCTAGGATTACAGGTGTGAGCCACCGCCCCGGCCCATCAATGACTTCTTGAGTGTGTCATCTGTTTCCTGCCAGGACCTTGATTGATACAGAAAGGGACTATAGGTGAAGGGGGTGAGGAGAGGGAGGGATGGCAATTTCACTTTAAGAAATTCACTTTTAAGAAAAGATGTTTGTGTGACATCTAAGTGGATGCCTATATAGGGCTAATGTCAGGAGGAAAGACAGGGCTAGAGATATAGATCTGGTAGTTATTTACAAATGTGTTAATACATTTGTCAGTTGAAAATATGTAATAATAAATAATAGGAAATAATTGAAACCTAAAGGAACTGAAGGCTGGGCTCTGAGGAAGATCAGTACTTATGGGGGAAACTGCAAAATGAGAAGCCTGCAAATGAAATTGAGCAGTATTTAGAGAAATAAAAGAAAGACTAGAGGGCAACTGTGTCACAGAGGGGAGGTAGGAAAAAGTGTCAAAAAGGAAAGAGTGGACAGTTCTATCAACAGTATATTAATCTGTTGGTTGAAAAGTCAGTGTATAAGATCTGAGAATTGGAAACTAAACTGAAGAATAAGAGAGTTATTGATGACCTTATGGGGTCTTTCAGTTGCCTGTAAGGGTTGAATACATGGTATGGAGTGAGGAACAAATGAATGGTCAGTGAAGAAGTGGGGATACCATGTTAATGAACATGTAGCAATATGAGTTTAGCCCACGACTCAAACCTGTAAAGAAATATAAGTTTTAATATATTCTACCACTTCAATTTCTATTTTGAGTCCCCAGTCTACTTTTGTCCGGATTTTGGATTAGTACTGAGTAAGTACTAAGATGGAATAGGGGATATTTGGAGACCCAGGAAGGTTAGACAGGCTGTGTGATTTTGTCCACCTAGATGGACCCTCCCCTGTCCCACTCTCTCCAGTCCAGGGAAATCTAATTCTAGAGTTTGGGGTTGGGAGAGGAGACTGCTACAAGTTCTCCTTCCACTTACATAACCCTGCCCGTCGGTTCTCCTCAAGCCATTTGCTCTGTGGCCTGAATCCTCTCCCCATTTGGGGTCTTGAAAGTTTGGAAACAAAAAGCCAGAAAGATTTTCTTTCCATGTTCCTTCCCCAGGGCAACAAACCTATGGTTTTGATAAGTGGCAAGGGCTGGAAATTGGCAAGCTATAGAAGGGGAAAATACCAAGAAAAAATAGGTTAATCTCATATATCAAATATATTATCACATCATACAGACTGGTCTTTAAACAAGTTCAGCTGGGAAGGAAAGAAGAAAACTAGGATGCTAATTGGAAGGAGATATGGGTTTTAAGAAACTTCTCATGGAATGATAGCAATTATCCTTTGAGAAGTACAAGGAAGATCCCTTACCTAAGGAGATCCTCCCCACTGATGCATGGGAGCCCAGCACAACGGACTCAAGGCTTCATGCTCATAGGTCTTCTTTTGAGATCCTCATACTTATGTTAAATCCCTCACAGTCACAGAGATTACTACTGAGAATGAGTTTCCTTTTTTTCCCTCGTAGGACTCCTTGGTACCTGAGGGGTAGGAAGCTATGAAGGGTACCTTAAAGAGAGAGAAAAGTATAGAAAAGGAAAGATTCAAGAAGGGGAATTTTTGTCTATTGACAGCTTGCCTTAGAACTTGCTATATCACACTACACAATCTCAAAAGCCAATTTTCACAATCAACTAATAAAATAAAATATATTGTAAATCACTTTCTACAGATGCTCAACATAAGTACTTAGTAATCATTTCATTTTTCCTTTTATTCTCATGGCAGGATTAGCATAGCCATGGTCTCTTCTGGGAATAAAGGCATTTCTTTCATCTACTAAACCCAATGCTAAATGGCAATAAACCATCATTCATTGAATTCTGCAACTTAAACTATATGTCACTGAAGAAATTCTAGCCCCTATGCATCATAATTAACATCAAATAGCAGTACAAATTTGCAGTACGACAAAGAGCTATATGGCAATAACCCTAGCTAGTCGGAACTGAATGAACTCTCTGAAATGAGAAATCATTTCAAGGGAAGAAAAAGAAACAAACAAGACAGGTTCTATTGATTAAAGTAAAGGAAGGGTGGAAGGATGATATCAGTCTGGGTCCAATCAGTAGAAAGAAACCACACAGTGATTAGAACAAGGAAAGTTTAATGTAAATAATTATTAACTGTAACAGGGGATTAGAGTAACAAGGCTAAAAGAAGTGAAGTGAACTCTAAACAATATAAGAACGGCAGATGTAAGGAGAGACACTACCCCCAGGGCTGAGATAGAGTGCCTCTGGAAGACCACCTCCTAGAGCTGAGATCCAGGACTTGGAGAGGGCATGGCTGTGGGTCATTGAATAAATGAAGTCTCACAGAGAAGTCCTTGTGTTGCTGAGCTGATGAAACTTGCTAGAAATTCACCTTTTGGAACTTGCTAGACATCCACTATCTGGAACTTGCTAGAAATCTGTCTTCGGGGAACTTGCTGGAAATATGCCCTCTAGGGTTCTGGGAAGTGGGTCACAGAGGTATTTCACTGTGGGTACTCCACCACAAAACTGCCCAGAGGGGCATGCAGATGGTGAGGGTGTCTGGAGGGAGTGGAGCCAGGTGGGATTGAGTTGCTGGGTGGTTGGTGTTGCTAGCAGCTGTGCACTACTGTAGGAGCTGGACACTGGGGAAGCTGAGTGGGCGGCAGTAACTGGACACTGGAGAAGCCACACATGCAAGCCACATGTGCTGTAGGAGTCTGTTGAGTAAGCACACAGGAACCAGGAAGCAGAATCCTTTCCTCTTGCAATGTCTCTTCAGTTCTTTCTACTGATAGAGCTTAACTTTATACCAGCTGGCAAAGGAAAAAATATTTATAGGATCCAAATGCATTTTCAGAGCAGGCAAAAAAGGGTGAATTTAGAACTGAAAGGCATTACATTGATAGCTGGCATGACAATCATATCCAAATTCCCTTCCCCTCGCCCCAGTTTTTGGGCTTTTTATGAATGTGTTCACATTTTATGAGGTAGGCTACTTATCAATCAGGTAAATGACTGAACTTTTCAATTATGGATAAAATTCAAATTCCTTTTCATGGTCGTCTTGACTCCTAGGAAAATCAAAGGATGTGGGTGGACACCAGGTTAGCATCCATGGGAAGTGAATGAATATTAAGATAGATTTACCTGTGTAGAATACATTATGCACATTATGATCTTAATGCAACCTATTTTGGTATGACCTGGGCAGCATCCAGAATGAAGTGGGGTGAAGAGGGTACGAGAAGAGGGAGTACAATATAGACAATTGTTTCTAGAGGTGAGAAGTTTGGTTTTGAGGGTGAAGACAGAAGACAGGATTAGCTGGTGGAAAGTATAGAGCTGGGGAAGGTTTAAAAATTAAATGAAAGAGACTTGAGCATTTTAAAAAGACAATGGGAAAGAACCAGTGGAGATGAGGTGCTTGAATATAAAAAAGAGATCATGTAGGGTTCCTGAGAAGGTGGGAGGGCCTGGGATCTGTGAAAATAAAAACACATTTCATCCTAAAACTTTGATTCAGCCTCTGTTAAAATGAAACCTTTGAAGATTATCTTAAAATTTTCTTAAAATAATTTTTATTAACTTTACCATTGATATGCAAGTGACTCACAAAATAAAGGGGTATTAATAAGAAACACTGAGAGGGAAGAATCTTGTTGACATACATACCTTAAGAATTCAAACAACTATGCCGGCTATTACTCTTCTCTGTGAGATAAGGAAAAGAGGTTAGAGAATATTTACATTCTAGTGACCTTTCAGTTACACAAGGAACAAAGAACACAGTTAGGAGCTAGGTGGGGCAAAGGTCTTACTAAAGTGTAAACCTCTGCAGGCTCTGGTTCTCAATATCATAAATTATAGTTTCTCTTTTTGATAGTGCAAGAAACTTACCAGGACACTCAATTTTAACTTCAAAGTTTTTGTTTAGTATTTCCAGACATAACCTTTAGTGGTAAAGCATATGATGACCACAGAGTCTGCAACACATTTGTTATATGATACTGCACCTAATGTGAAAGGTAGAAAGTCAAGGAATTTAGGATATGGGAAGTAAAGTTAATGAAATGATCATCTATGGACTCTAAGTTTGACACTCCTGATGAGTTTGAAAAATAGTTACAGTGGGCATATTTAAATATTCAAGTTAGAAGAATAGGAGGTTGTGGTCAAAGGGTAGGATGCTTGATTTTGAAGGTGATGACAAGGTTCAACTGTAATCCTAGTAATTTGGGATGCTGAGGCAGGACTGCTTGAGGCCAGAAGTTCAAAAGCAGCCTGGACAACATAACGAGACCCTGTGGTAGTGCAGGTCTGTAGACCTAGCTACTTGGGAGGCTGAGGCAGGATTGCCTTGAGCTGCAGTGAGCTATGATTGTGCCACTGGACTCTAGCCTGGGCAACAGAGTGAGACTGTCTCAAAAAAAATAAAAGTGTCTTGTAGATATAGTCAGCAGTCAGTATATTTTCCTAATTAAAACACAGGACACAGTCCAGGTGGTAGGTATGTGATAGGTCAGGACAACTGCCTAGAAACTACTTGAAATTGTAATTGCTCCAGAAAAATTGTGGGTTACTTAGTGATTTATTTTACAGTAATTCTTTGACTAGGTATACAATCCCTTATTTGACATTTTGAAATCCAAAAAGCTCTGAAAATCAAATGTTTTTCTTAACATTTGGTGGCGAAAACTGTTCTGACTTAACTTGTCATTAAAACTTGGCTTGACCTGAACCCAAGGGCAAACTGGCAAAACTTGATCTGAGAAACTTGATCTGATCTGAAGTGAGACTACTTATTTGCTTCATTTGTCCTACTTAGTGTGATATTCATGATTTTTCCTGAAAAACTGTTAGCTTGATTATGGGGTGCTGCCCCAGACTTCATGGGATGTTAATTAACACCTCTATTAATTAAAGTACATGTCAAAGTACACCTCTCTAAAGTCTGAAAAATTCTGAATTCTGAAATCCATGTGGCAGAAAAGTTTCTGATAAGAGATGTTGATCCATATCTCATAGCCATAATGCACTACCATACATATAATAGGCTAGTTTTTAGAAGTTCAATTAATACTGAGAGGATATTTATCTTAGTGGGAGAATCATGGTCTCAATTTGCAACAGATCCTTATTACAATGAATAAAACATATTAGAATTCTAAAACAAATACCTTCATGAGGAAAATAAGGTCTAAAAATTCAAGAAGTTATTAAAAATAACAAAAAAATACCTATACAAAATTTTTCTCAATTATGGTTTTTTATTAAGTATATTGTTTTTCTGGTTAACTGAAAATTGGTGGTAATTAGAAATTAATTACATATAATGTGATTAAAACATACAAAGAGTGACATTTCTGACTAATTGTGCTTATAAAGTTTACTGCTATATTTACATTTCTTAAGGGACGCCGCTATTTCTACCACTAGCAAATCACTTACCAGTAACATTAGTAATCACTTAGGTTGATTATTCACACTATTTTCTTCATCTGTAAAATAAGAAGGTTGGGACTGTGAACAAATGCGAACCTGAAAGAGTCAATCCTCCAAGATGGAGCCCAAGTAATTACCCGGGCCTACATTGAAAACACAGCTAAGTAGCCACTTGCTGACTAGGGGTCACACACCCTCTCCGTTTCTCAGCCTGCACCTTTTTACCTCTGGGACTTTCAGGACTCACCTGAACCAACTAATCAGAGCTCATGTTCCTCAACCAATCAGGGCTCAGCTGTATCAGCCAATCAGAATTCAGCTGCATCAATCACTCAGAACTAAGAAAGTTTCAACCTTCCTTCATTTATATAAACAAACTTGACTGGGAACCTTGGGCGGGAACTTTTCCTATATAACTGGAGCTTTCCCTTTGTTCTCTGGAACCACACCTTATTTTACACTGAAGATGGTTTGTCCTGTGGTTTGTAAGCTGTTCACCGGAATAGTCTTTCTCCAAATTCCTTTTTAGACAATCGTTCACAGGATTAAATGACCTGTGAGGGTTCTTCTGAATTCTATGAACATGTGCAATATACAGCACAAAATCAAGTTCACAAGTGTCAATGTATAGGAAATGAATCAGTAAATATTGAGAACCTGTATTATCAAAGTTAATGTTACAAAGTACATGGAAGTAACGATAAAATATATGAAAGAGGATTTTGAATGTTCTGTATTTGGAAAGTGCTTCAACGTTTAATGCTATTTAATTTGTCCTTTCTTCACTGTTGATATTGCAAATTTTTTTTTTTTTTTGAGACAGAGTCTCTCTCTGTTGCCCAGGCTAGAGTGAGTGCCATGGCGTCAGCCTAGCTCACAGCAACCTCAGTCTCCTGGGCTCAAGCAATCCTTCTGCCTCAGCCTCCCGAGTAGCTGGGACTACAGGCATGTGCCACTATGTTCGGCTGATTTTTTCTATATATATTAGTTGGCCAATTAATTTCTTTCTATTTATAGTAGAGATGGGGTCTAGCTCTTGCTCTGGCTGGTTTTGAACTCCTGACCTCGAGCAATCCGCCCGCCTCGGCCTCCCAGAGTGCTAGGATTACAGGCGTGAGCCACCGCGCCCGGCCAATATATTGCAAATTTTATCAGGGTTTTGTGGCACCAGAGGAAGATGATGAAGTCGAATAGAACACACTTCCGTGGAGTGAGGATTCAAACTGAATGTCTAATATAGGAAGGTAAGATTAACAATCAAAAGTGATTTTAGAAATTATTTAACAGAGAACATGGGACAAAACTCATACACATGAAATAATACGGATAACAAAAGCAGTTAACTCACATGAATGCGGGTAGAAAGAGGCCACAGCAGCACGGAGAGCAAATAGAATTAGAGAGCATTAAAACCGAAAAGCTCCCAGGATAAACCAAGGTATTACAGTCAATAGAGCCTAGTAGTTAAAAACAACAACAACACAGGACTGGGCCAGGTGAGAGAGAACCTTGGAGTTTAGGGTTGCAGCCGTTGTGGTGTGGTCGCTCCCCTCACTTCTCTGGTTCTTTATTTCCCTATCTATAAAACAGGTGGATTAGTTTAGATTTTTTTTTAATTTCCAGGCAATGACTCAGCTATGTTCCATATACCTCTGGCTTACCCTTTCCACATCGCTGGTAAATTTCTTAACTCTCGGTGTGTTTCCCCCTTTCATATGTCGAAATAATAATTTTAAAATAAAAAATGTAAATCTAAACCTACTGTTTTGTTGGGTTAGGTCGTGAGCGAAAGCGGCGACGTAAGTCGAAATAATGATTATGAAGTAAAAAATGTAAATCTTAACGGACTCTGTTTTATTGTGGTTAGGTCGTGAGCGAAAGCGGTGAGGCAGCAAACAAGCGGAGACAAGTAGCGGCCAAGGAAAAAGGCCAGCTGGGACCCACGTCTAATCGGGAAGCAACAACAACTCGCGGCCAGGGAGGTAGGGCGCTTGCTGCCGCGGATGGGGCGGGCCCAACCCGAGACAGCGGAAGGGACCGCCCAGTGAGCGGAAGTGACGTGACGCCGGCTCTCAGCTCTGAAGGGAGGTGTAGCCGGTTTGTGGAGGGAGGAGGTAGTGGCGGAAGAGGTTCAGCGGCTGATGGCGGATCAAGATCGCAAGCTTGTCTAATGCTGTTTCTGGGTCCGAGAACCCCAGCACTGGGTAAGGCGCCTTCCCGGTCCGCCCCAGCTCCTGGTGCGGGGCGGACCCCCGCTTGGAGCTCTTTTGGGGCTCGTGCTACGCCCCTTATCCCCTGTAGTCTAGGGGCCTGGCCGGTCTTGGGAATGGTCTCCGTGGTGACGATGCTTTCCTTCCTGAGGACAAACCTTTCCTGCGGACTGCGATTGTGACGGGGGTGTGTGCGACTCGGGTCACTCGTGGAGTTGTGAAAAAGGGACGGGTGGTCGCCCCCCACAGTGGGGGCGGCTTGCGGGATAGGCGTTAGTGATTTGGGGGAGGTGTGAGGTATGGGGGCCCATTGGCGCAGCGGGGAGGGGGACGAGTGACGCGGGTGACCCCTGGGGAGGGGAAAAAAAGAAAACCTCTCTCGTGTCCAAGGCTGAACTCTAGGGTGACTGTCTTGAGGGCAATGTGTGTGCTGCTTGCGTATGTAAGCTTGGGAAAACACGTAGGTCGAGCCCCGGAAGGACGCTCGGGTTTGCCTTTGCGGAGAGAAACCCAGCTGTTTTGGTTTGAGTCGCCTGTGGAGAAGGAGGCGGGGACTCCCAGCGCCGCCTACGTTTCAAGGCCGCGGGCGGAGTTAGCTGTTCTGGCCTCGTCTCACTTCACCTGAGCCAGGGAATTAGCGCTTTGTCTGTTTATAAAGGGTCCCTCCCCAATGCTCGGAGGGGGTTTTAAGAAGTCCTCTGGGAAGAGTATTAGCTTTCTTTGCATAGTTATCTTTTCTTGTTTTCACATCAAAGAATCCCTCTCCCTTGCCATCGGAGCACCCTGCAGGTGTGCAAGTTGCAGACAAGTCTCAACAGACTTTCGTCACTTGGGGAATCTACAGATAGTGCTTAGCTGGGTGTCTGTTGTGTGTTTGAGAAATACTTATTACACCTTATTGATAAAAGTTTTGTTAGAAAACGTTGCATTTGACTACACATATACAGTATTAGATTTTTGGTTTCACAAAGTAGTTATGAATTGCTATTATGTTAGGAATTTCTATGGGAAAATCTTAATTTTTCAACTCTGCATTCTGCTAAGGGTAACATTTCTACGAACTCTGTACGAACAGTAACTAATTATGATTTTGGTACTCAATTCCAAAAGCATTTAAAGAGATCATTTGAATAACATTAATCTAAAAGTGTGCCGATTGTTGTCATAGTGCTGTTCGCGTTTAGAGAAGGAGCTAAGGCCAGGCTATCTCTTTTGTTCTATTATTTTCAAGGGTAAACTTGATTTCCTGAAGGATTATTTGATTATGCTAGGAATGATGTCTTAATATTAAGCTTTTTTTTTTCTTTCTGGCAACCTTATCAAACTTTAAAAGAACATCTTATAGTCTTTGTTTTTTAGTCATTATGTTCATACACTGCACACCTGTTTACAGTTATTACTGCAGCCATGTGTATAGAATTAACCAGTAAATACTTTTCCATAAAACCCATATTTTGGAATTCTTAGTTCCAACCTTTTTTTTTTTTTTTTTCTTTTTCTAGGAAAGGTTGTATCAGAAAGTTCCAACCTTTTTAATGATTAATATTTATGAAAGATCCTAGTGATGCTCCTTGTATACTTCTTTGGGAGAATTATCTCTCACGTGAAGCTTATTGGATTATATTCTTTTGAAAGGCTATGTAAAATTTGGGCTTTATGCACCTTTGGCTTTTTAAACCTTATTTTTCCCCAGACAAATCTTTAGAAGAAGATAAAAATTGCCTGCCTCCTAATACTTACCAGCCAAGCAACATAGTATTTTAGAAACCAACTTACAGAAAAAAATCTAAAAAGTAAATAAAAGTGGTGTGGGTGACATCTGGACAGAGTGAAGTGGCACTCAGGTGTAGAGGATTCTGGAGATAAGGATTTGTGCAAGAGTGCTAATTAGTAGAGTGGGGGCTTTGCTTCTGCCTCCCAGAAAGATTGCTGATAACATTTTCTGGAGTAGAAGTCTGTTTATAGTTGATAGTCTTTGAGCTAAAGTATGAATAGTTGGTAATTTTGAATGCCAGACATTTTTTCCTTTTAAGTGTGTGTCTGTCCTGTAGGACTGAAGTTTGGAGATAATTTTAAAGGTTCATACTTTCTTAGCTGAAGAATTTTAAAACTTTTACTAACTCTATCAGTCACTACCTGAGTTATAACGTTTCTAAGGGCACAAAGTGTTCATATTTTAAAAAGCAATGTGTTTCTATTGTCATATGTGGAGTTTTTATGAATGTTTCATTTATTTTGGTTTTACTGACTTTCTCATGGGAATTTTCAAACATGCACAAAAGGAGAAGGACAACATTTTGCTAATCTTGTTTTATTACTCTAACATACATGTTTTTCCTTTGGAGTTTTTTTTTTTTTTTGAGACAGAGTCTCGCTTTGTTGTCCAGGCTAGAGTGAGTGCCGTGGCGTCAGCCTAGCTCACAGCAACCTCAAACTCCTGGGCTCCAGCGATCCTTCTGCCTCAGCCTCCCGAGTAGCTGGGACTACAGGCATGCGCCACCATGCCCGGCTAATTTTTTTTTTATATATATATCAGTTGGCCAATTAATTTCTTTCTATTTATAGTAGAGACGGGGTCTCGCTCTTGCTCAGGCTGGTTTTGAACTCCTGACCTTGAGCAATCCACCCGCCTCGGCCTCCCAAGAGCTAGGATTACAGGCGTGAGCCACAGCGCCCGGCCTCCTTTGGAGTTTTTAAAGCAAATCTTAGCAATCAAGACATTTCACTTATAATTAATAGTTTAGCATCTCTATCTGATCTCATATTTAAAAATATATAATCACCATAACCATATTAATATACATAACAAAATCACCTTATTTCTTTTTGAATCATAAATGTTAGAGCTGGCAAATTATATTTAATATTTATCTAAATTAAAAAGCTTAATTTGACTTTGTATATTTAATGCACAAAAGTTCTTTCTGTGGTTTGTTTTCTACTATGTTGACTAAAGCTTATATTTTTTTGGGTAACTAGTAAAGTGTAAGTATCAGGAGCCCCTGGAAAAATACTACCACAAAAGCCAAAGCTGTTTGGGGCTTGAAAAAGTTACTTGGTGAAGTAAAGATAACATTGAAATGCTTTTTTCCCCCTAAGTTTATTTTAGCTATATGTTATCTTTTTTTAGATAATTAATAAATTCCCCCAATAACAATTGGATTTTAGACCAAAGACTTTATACAATTTACAGCATAAGACACATAAAGGAATTCTAGCCGTATTATAACTTTAGAGATTGTATTAGGAAATCTGGAAGAGGGCACTGTAGTCAGCTTGTATATGCATTTCAGACTTCGTTTCCCAGCTAAATGTGTCTGGCCCCTTAATTGTTGACTGGAAAATTCTTACTTATCCTTGGCTTGCCTTGTCTTACTGTACTTCTGTTTCTGTAGATGTACTTTAGAGAACAGGCAGTAGAATTTGGTGTAGTAAAGCTGCTTGCTTCTACTTCCGTTTGTGTCTAGGGGCTGTATTTCTTCTTTCCAACTGAGGTGAAATTTGTACTTTTTCTCAGGATATTAGTGAAGCTACACTTCCCAGGCATTACCACAAGGTGATGCAGTGACTTTGCACTTTTTCTCCAGTCCTATGAGACCTTGACATTCTAATTGAATTCTAATATTTTTATAAACTTATAAACTTGTCTCCCTTTCTTATCTGTAGGAGGAGTGAACCAGGGAACTGTGGGAATTAGAAATTTAATTTGCTATTTTATTTTACTATTTAAACTGGGTTGATTTATGATATAATTATATTCGGATGCATTCATCCATGTTAAGTTTTTTATGACTAGTATCTATATTATAATAAGTAAAAAAGAATAACAAGGATACTGGAATGACTTTTATAAAATATTTCTATAATTAAAATAGCATTGAAATTTTTAAAAAGGTTGAGTGGAGAAAGATTAATGAAGACTATTAATAGCATGATCCCATCTTACTCTTAAGACTATCTTTTTTTTTTTTTGAGACAGAGTAAGGCTAGAGTAAGTGGTGTCATCATAGCTCACTGCAACCTCAAATTCCTGGGCTCAGGCGATCCTCTTGCCTCAGCCTCCAGAGTAGCTGGGACTACAGGTGCATGCCACCGTGCCTGGCTAATTTTTTTTCTATATTTAGTAGAGATGGGGTCTCACTCTTGCTCAGGCTGTTATGGAGCTCCTGAGCTCAAGTGATCCTCTCAATCCTCCTGCCGTGGCCTCCCAGAGTGCTAGGATTACAGGCGTGAGCCACTACTCCTGGCGAAGACTAAATATCTTCAATACTGTATTTAAAGTATAATCTTAGTGTTTTCTATTAAAAACTGGAATTTTTGGGGGAGAGTTTAAAAATGAAATTTCATGTTAATATGGTCATTTAAAACAATGAATACATTTATACATAGTTGTAAAAAATCCAAACAAAATGAGTTAAACGTTACAGCCAGCCAGGTACTCATGCCCGTAATCCTAGCACTTTGAGAGGCTTACGCAGGAGATCACTTGAGCCTAGGAGTTTGAGGTTGCAGTGAACTATGATGATGCACTGTAGCCCACTGCACTGTAGCCCCAGGGAACAGTGAGACCTTGTAGGAAAGAAAAGAAAGTTAAAGTCCTCTTAAGTCCTCTTTTCACACACATCCTTCATAAGTAAAGACTATTAACTCTTCCTTTTGATGTATTTATAAAAATACACACATATACAAATACATATATTTATACCTCTGCTATTTTATTTTATTTTTATTTTTTTTTTTTTTTTTTAGCCAATGGACACAAAGATGTATCTCTGTGCTATTTTATACCTGAACTTTTCAATGAGGTGAAAGTGTAAGGTTGGATTATGAGTTTTTTGTTGTTGTTGTGGTGTTTTTTGTGGTTTTTTTTTTTTTTTTTTTTTTTTTTGAGGCAGGGTCTCCTTCTGTTGCCCAGGCTAGACTGTAGTGGTGTGATCATAGCTCACTACAACCTCAAACTCCTGAGCTCAAGCAATTCTTCTGCCTTAGCCTCCTGAGTAGCTGAGACTACAGGCAAACACCACCATGCCCAGCTAATTATTTCTATTTTTAGTAGAACAGGTCTTGCTCAGGCTGGTCTTGAACTCTTGAGCTCAAGTTATCCTCCTGCCTTGGTTGCCCAGAATGCTAGAATTACAGGCATGAGCTACTGCTCTTAGCCATGGATTATGAATTTTTACAAAACTGTTGCAATTGAGATTCATTGCCTTGTTTTATAAAGAAATAATTACAGCTGTTAATTTACTTTAGGAAATAACATGTTACATTTTAAGAAAAAAGTTTTATCCTTAACATAGCTTTTAATTTAAAAAACTGGGAAGTTTATTCTAAATTACCTTATTTCCTCCTTATTAATTATCTGCCTCAAAGAAACCTGAATATTCACTCTCTTCATAGAAAAATATTACTGATCCTCTTAACTCATTTGGTAGTTGTATCTATAATACAGGTTGTTTCAATTGATTTTAGGTATAGCTTTTTTTTATTGGTATCTTTTATAACCAATAGTGAATTTTTTATAAAGAACTGGAATTGGTGGGTTATTTTCCTTTTTTTTTTTTTTTTTTTTGAAGCCAATGATTTGAAAAGAGATTATCATTAGTAACTTCATTATTATGACCTTCCCCAGAGCCCAGATAAGGTCAGACAACTCAGTGAAACAAAATAATGGAACTCTTTTTTTTTTTTTTTTTTTTTTGAGACAGAGTCTCACTCTGTTGCCCAGGCTAGAGTGAGTGCCATGGCGTCAGCCTAGCTCACAGCAACCTCAAACTCCTGGGCTCAAGCAATCCTCCTGCCTCAGCTCCCGAGTAGCTGGATACAGCATGCGCCACCATGCCCGGCTAATTTTTTCTATATATATTAGTTGGCCAATTAATTTCTTTCTATTTATAGTAGAGACGGGGTCTCGCTCTTGCTCAGGCTGGTTTCAAACTCCTGACCTGGAGCAATCCGTAGCCTCCCAGAGTGCTAGGATTACAGGCGTGAGCCACCACGCCCGGCCTAAAATAATGGAACTCTTTAGTTATTTTAGGCAGTTCTCCAGTGTTTGTAAATGCTACCTTTTCATTTTTCTGAAGGTGTTCGTTTACCAGGTGGAGAGTATTAACAGTTAAGTCCTTCCCTGAAATAGGGTTGCTTCGTAGTAAAGCCCTTTTGTTAGTGTAGAGGTGAAGGAGGATTGCTATGAAATGTACTGTCTTCATTTTGTAATCCTTTCAAACCACAAGCCTAGAGAAGCCTAGAGACAGTTCTCCTGGTGTTCTACCACAGTGGTTTCCAGGTTCATGATTGACATTCTCTGTGGGATGTCCAGTATATTATTCAGTAAAGCAGGACTTTGCCCAAACAGAAGCAGAGAGGACACAAGAAAAATTGTTATTTTCTAAAATGCTTATAATTTCAAAACTTTAAAAATTTGCTTTAGTATTTCAAATAGGTTAACAAAAGAAACAGTTGTAAAAGCAAACTGTCTTAGATTGTCTTAGCTATAAGCCTTCTTAGTAATGGCTAAAATATGACTAGTCTTATTGCTGTGCTTGCTCTGTAGAAACAACATTGATTCATGAAATTAGATTGGTTAGCAAAAATCTTGCCCCAGTTTTCCCCATTAGTACAGATATTCCTGTTTTAATGACTCAGAAGCAAGTACTTACTGTAAGGTCAGTCTAGTTTCTTATGTGCACTGTTGAATCAGTTGCTTTTTTGGGTAAATCCTGTTACTTTGTCTTAAAAATAGAGCACAAAATATGGAAAACATTTGGATTTTACAGTTTTTATAATCCACTTCCATGATTCATCTCCCGTCCAGTGCTTGTAAGCTGGTGAGCATTCCCTGAATCTCTAATAGATTTTCAACAGTATGTATTTAATTGACACTATGCTTTCCTTTTTTAGTACAAGTTTTTTTATTTTATTTTTTAAAGACAGGCTTTCACTCTGTTGCCCTGCCTGAAGTGCAGTGGCATCATCATAGCTCATTACAACCTCAAACTCATGGCCTCAAGCGATCTTCCTGCCTCAGCCTCCTGAGTAACTGGGACTACAGGTGCATACCACCATGCCTAGCTAATTTTTCTATTTTTTTTTTTTTTTGTAGAACAGGGGCATCTCACTCTTGCTCAGGCTGGTCTTGAACTCCTGGCCTCAAGCTATCCTCCCACCTCGGGCTTTCAAAGTGCAAGGGTTACAGATGTGAGCCACCGTGCCTGGCCAGTATAAGTTTTTTAATCAGTAAATATGTGGAAAGGGTACCTGATACCAGAAATCAAGGTAGGATCGTTGAATCCAGAATGAAATGGTAGATTTGTTATAGATAGAGAGGAATAAATAGGATGAGCTATTTCAGGTAGACTAGCTGAGCGTTTATATAATTTGAGAGATTTGAACAAGCTTTTACTACAAGTGCAAGAAGATAAGCTACCTCTGGGATCTGTGGACATAAATGAGATGATAGTGGAGACCTGAGTTTTTGGGTGGTGGTTCTCTTTCCTGGCTGCATACATGCACATATCCCCAGGCCTCACTCCCAGGAAGTTGTGATCATCTTTTTTTTTTTTTTTTTTTTTAAGCCCCTGCTGATTCTAATGTATAACTATGGTTGGTACAGGGGATCATGACATGGGGCAGGAACACAGGCACAGAGAAGTCAGTATTAGGTTCAGCTATAGAATGCTAGAACCTAGGGAAAGGAGAGGGGAGGTATGGGATAAACTAGATTATGGAGGAAAATGATGAAATTCAGGAGTTCTACATAGAAGTGAAAAGTTAACTGACCAATAGCCAATAAAATAATTTTAACTGTCCTTGTTTCTGTTTCTTAGTGTATGTTACTAGGGCCAGGAGGTTTATATTGGCGGTGTATATGCTAAAACACCTCTGGTTCTTTTGTTTTTGGTTGGTATAGGAGCAGAGAGCTAGGCTTTCCAGGAAAGTTGAGTTTTGGTTTTTTAACTTTTTAACCCCTGTGTAACTTTCTAAGCCGTATTGACTTTAGTTATGTTTCAATTTGTCTTTTATATTTAAAAATATATTTGTGAAATATTTTATTACAAAAATATATATATTTTATGTATATATTTAAAAATATATATGTCTTTTACATTCCAATATTTAAAAAGCATATATCTTCTCAATAATTATGACATGCAAATATTCATGAAATTTACATTAAATGTTATGTATTTTCTAAAGAAGGTATAAGTTTATTTTTAGTTTGTATCATTTAACTTTTGAATCACTTGTTTCAGATTCACAATGACATCCTTTCAAGAAGTCCCATTGCAGACTTCCAACTTTGCCCATGTCATCTTTCAAAATGTGGCCAAGAGTTATCTTCCTAATGCACACCTGGAATGTCATTACACTTTAACTCCATATATACATCCACATCCAAAAGACTGGGTTGGTATATTCAAGGTAAGAAAACTTTCTGAATATGTCTTCTGTGTAAACACTTTTTATTTTCTTTTTAAACAGATTGATACTTAGCTTATACTAGCCTTAATCTGCATTAAATTTCACTTTTGTAAACATCGCTGTGAAATAATTGAACTGTGGACAAGTAGTGTAAAACAAATATTGGCAACTTTATTTCACCAGATTTTCCTCTGTAATCAAAAGGTTCAGCTTCACTCAAGGTTTTGTGAAAATTTCAGAATCTTGGTTTTTTTTTTCCTTTTTTCATTTTCTCCATTTCTTACCTTCTTCCAAAAGAAAACAATCTTTTTATTTGGGTTCCTATATCATTTACTGTTTTTTCCAGTCATATGTAATTAATTTTGTACAGCTATAAGCCATGTTATTACCTCTTCTCTTGTTGTCCTGCATGGCTTAAATATTGTGTCTTACATTGTTTTAGAAGAGTATTGTGTTTTACATGACTGGCTTGATGGCAGGAGTCCCAGTTCTTATATTTTACCAGTTATTTTGTATAATATTTGCTTGAAAATTATGTTGAAATGATCATTATGGTGGCATACCTCCCTATGCTGGAGGTTTTCTGCTCATTTTAACTCTTCAGAATGCAGTGGAAAATCAAAATGTAAGCATGTCCTCTGAGCAGTCAAAATAGTATCATGAATGTGCAAATAGTAAAACTCAATTCACTTTTCACTGGGTCGCTCCACCATCTCCAGTTGAATCTGTTTGTTTTATTTTAGGTACGATTTTAATGGGCTTGAAATTTTGATGGTCTAGTCTGTGTAAAGCCAAATAACAAAGTAGAAATAAGAGTAGCTGCTAGGAATTAGGCACATTGAAAGTATCTAGAAGTGAAAGTCCAGTCTGATAAGGTAAGGAGGGCAGAAAAAATATATATATTTGGAATATATATATATATATATTTGGAATATATATATATATATATAAATAATATATATTTGGACAAAACAGATTTGGCATTTAATGACATTTTAGTTCTTTTTTTTGAATTCCTCATTCCTTGATGTTCCTGAATAGAGCATAGTAGAGTAATTACTATGTACTTCATGTGTCAGTTTTTTAGGCTTGTCAGATTCCCAAATGGAGACTCTGGGAAGATACATTCATTGTAAGCATTTGATGAATGCATTTATGAATTGAGATATTGCTATCAAATTAAAGGTACTGATCGAGAACTGCAGTATTGGGTTAGAGAGGAAGAAGAGAGCAGTGAAATGCAGTTGAGGGAAAGGAAGGGCATTTTCAGAAGGAAGATGTTACAGATTGAGCACCTCATATTGAAAAATCCAAAATTTGAAGCTTTTTGAGTGCCAACGTGATGCTCAAAACAAATGCTCATTGGAGCATTTTAAAAAAAATTAAAACAATTTTTAAATTATTATGGTTACGTAATAGTCATATATCTTTTTTGGACACAGGTGAAGTTTTTAATACAAGCGTACAATGTGGATAAATCAAATCAGGGTTATAGGGATATTCATCACCTCAGGCATTTATTATTTGTGTTAACATTCCAATTCCATTTTTTTTAGTTAATTTAATGTATACCTTGTGGATTATAGTCACTTTGTTCTATTAAATATTATTCATTCTATCTGACTATATTTTTGCACACATTAACCATCCCCACTTCATCCCCCCTTCCCTGATAATATTCCCAGCCTCTGGTAAACATCACTCTACATCAGTGAGATCAATTGTTTTTAATATTTACCTCTCACATATGAGAGAGAACATGTAAGATTAGTCTTTCCGTGCAGGGTTTATTTAACTTAGCATAATGTTCTCCAGTTCGAGCCATGTTGCAAAAGCAAGATTTCATTCTTTTTTGTGGCTATATGTTTCTGTATCCATTCATCCATTGATGGACATTTGGGTTGATTCCAAATCTTGGCTGTTGTGAATAGTGCTGCAGTAAACATGGAAGTGCAGGTATTTTTTTGATAAGCTGATTTTCCCTCTTTTGGATATATGACTAGCAGTGGGATTGCTGGGTCATAGAGTAGTTCTATTTTAAAATTTTTGAGGAACCTCCTTAGTGGTTGCACTAATTTATATTTCCACCAACAGTATATGAGAGTTCCCCTTTTTCCACATCCTCGCCAGCATTGTTATTCCCTGTCTTTTTGATGAACGCCATTTTAACTTGGGTGGGATGCTATCTCATTGTAGTTTTTTTTTTTTTTTTTGACAAAATTGAAATCCAAAACCCTTCTGCTTTCAAGCATTTGGATAAGGGGTATCAACCTGTATAAGCAAAGGCAGAGAGGTAAGAAGCATGTTATTGACAATAAGTCAGTCAATGTAATGAGAATGTAAGTTTGTTTAGGGAACTTGTAATGAGATGAGGTTGGAGTTACATTTCAGTCTGTCTGTGGAAGACTTCAGTGTTGGCTTAACCTTTTCTCTAATAATACAATAAATCTTGGATAGTACTGATATGTTAACAATGTTAAATCTTCTAATCTATGAATGTGGATGTCTTCCCTTTACTGGTATCTTCTTTTTTTTTTTTTTTTTTTGAGACAGAGTCTCCTTTGTTGCCAGGCTAGAGTGAGTGCCATGGCGTCAGCCTGGCCTCACAGCAACCTCAATCTCTGGGCTCAGCGATCCTCCTGCCTCAGCCTCCGAGTAGCTGGGACTACAGCATGCGCCCACCATCCGCTAATTTTTTATATATATTTTTAGTTGGCAATTAATTTATTTCTATTTAGTAGAGACGGGCGTCTCGCTCAGGCTGGTTTGAACTCCTGACCTTGAGCAATCCGCCCACA